TCTATGTGTGTGTGTGTGTGTGTGTGTGTGTGTGTGTGTGTGTGCGTGTGTTTCACCGGGTGACCTTGATACACAAGTTCAACATTGACGATCAATTTTTAAATAAAATTATTTGCTAAAATCTACATAGTATCGCATCAAATCATGTCCTTGCGAGCCATTTTGCTTATTTGGAGACGCTGATTCTGAATATGAAATCAGTTTTGAGATGCAATAATTATTTTAAAAAATTTTCGCACCAAGTATAATCCTGTGTGGTGGTAAATTTCGACAGCACGTTCCTCCAAGTCTGGTACAGTTTTGTCCTAATGCGGTAGGCGGCTAGATCTATATTTCTCTATAATCACAGACGATATTAACCCAGGACTGGGATAGTCCTGTCTCACCGATTTTGAAGCAATTCACAGCTGCTCAGGACTCAAATCGACAAGAATGTCCTGTCCTTATAGGTGCGGTTCATTACACTCTAATTCAAAAGTTTCAAAATCCAGACTGGTTTGTCCCAGGACATTTACCTACCTACCACTAGATCTAGATACCCCTCTAATTGTCGGCACTTGTGTGACCTAGTTCTGCTGCAAGTACCCTAAAACTTTTATTAAAACTGTAAAACACCCTTGTCCAAAAAGTCTCTGGCGGGAAAGTGGCACCTTGCTATAGCCCTTACGTCACGGGCCCCGACTGCGTCCAACCACATAAATAGATCTATTAATTATTGCTTTCGACAAATAGGTTCAAGAAACCTGTATGTCACTTTTTTTTTTTTTAATCGATTTTTTGGAGTCGTTGTCGTTGTCGTTGTCGTTGTTATTGTTGTTGTTGTTGTGGTTTTGTTATTGTTGTTGTTGCGTTTGTTGTTGTTGTTGTTGTTGTTGTTGATGATGATGTTTTTGTTGTTGTTGATGATGATGTTTTTGTTGTTGTTGACAATGATGTTGTTATTATTGTTATTATTTATCAATTATCAATATTTATTTTTTATTTTTTTAATTCATTAAGAATCAATCATTGGTGT